AGGGTTTCTGTTCTTGGTTTTGCAGCAGGGTCAAATCAACTGTGGAAAAGACCAAATTCTTATAATATACAGAAAGCTGTGACAAGCTATCACTGTCATATAGACATTAAATATACAGTTATAAACAAGTTAGGAGGGATGACCTCAATATCAAAGATGAACATGAAAATTAAGTTTGGAGAACATCCACTTACCTCTTTAAATTCTGCCTTTAACACACAGTGTCCTAGGGTTGACTGCCATTGAAGTTTCCTGCCACTATGTTTGCCTAGGTAAAATGTCTTGAAAATCTCCTGAAGTTTTACCATCTACAGTAAAAAAAATAAAGATTATTTAAGCTGTTTCCAATATCACACATTCACCACTCTTTATATTTACCTCATGTATACTAATTTCTGGATGTTTTTAAGACTATCCAATAGGTTCACTGATCACTGGTATAAGGCAATGGTCCCCCAGCTACCAAATCTAATGGCATTTATCAGTCTTCACACTCTTGCTTTAATCATTCCCTCTTTGGAACATTTACCTCCAATGCCTTGTGTGCCTCTGCACCATGCTAGATCCTCTCTCTCACTATTGCTTCTTCATTGGTTTTCTTCACAGGTTCCTCTTCCAACCACCTTCCAAATGACAACCCTTTCCAAAGTTCTGCTTCAGCCATCTTCTTCCTGTTTCTACATTCTCCCTCCTAATGAGAGAGATCTACTCCCTGGGTGTCCATGATTATCTCCCTGTAAGATTTTCAGGTATCTATCTCTCTAGTCTTAACCCCTTTTCTAAGCTTCAATACTGAGGTTCAACATTTCCCCCAAGGAGTTAGGATAGATTTACTCAAGCCCCCATCACTCAGCAATCCAATCCCCAGGTGACACATGAGCAAGACTTTTTGAGAGCTGAGCAGAGAGGTGAGTACAATCTTGGGAAATGAAAGAAGAGCCAGGGGAATCAGCCCTGAACCCAGAAACTAGGCATCTTTATGCTCTAATAATATTAATATAAATAGAAGAGTAAAATATTAAAACAGCTGGCATTTTGCATTGGTGTGCTTACTGACACAAACTCTTATTAAAAGTATCTATTTTTCAATGACAAACAAAATAGAAGTGTCATATATTTCTATGCTTATAATTCAAGTCCTAAACAGCAATTCTTACCTCTGGTGGTAAATGGACTTCCATAGGCACATATGTTGGCCAATAACCCATTGTCAGGATATTCACAGTTAATTCAATATTCCCAGGTACATTCTGGTTCTGCATATACTACAATAAAATCAAACATACATACTGAGATTTTAAAACTGAAAATGCAAACATTTCATTTCACAATAATGACCCATTCAAGAAGTTCCCCATTATAAAATTACATGCAAATACTGACCATCACTAAAATAAAAGTCAACTATTAAAGGACTAAAAATGAAGCCTATATTAAATGCACTGCAAAAGTGCACTGGTTGCCCTAACCGGTTTGGCTCAGTGGATAGAGCGTCGGCCTGCGGACGGAAAGGTCCCAGGTTCGATTCCGGTCAAGGGCATGTACCTGGGTTGCGGGCACATCTCCAGTAGGAAATGTGCAGGGGGCGGCTGGTGGGTGTTTCTTCCTCATC